TGGCATAGATTTGTGCTCTGACACATCATATTGTTACATCAGAAAAATATTGAAACAAAATAGGGAAAATTACAGGATTGAGGTGCAAATTCAGATATTTACCTATACAAATGTTTAGGTTTCATATGGTCAGTAGTGTAGGTAAAAATGGTTTGAATTCTTATCTCTCTGTTCTCAAAACTGTAACCCTTAATATCCGTAAAATCCCACCATGGATTTCATCTCACCTAATAGTTTAAACTCACAAGAAGCAGACAGATAGTGGGCCAGGTTCAGCCACATGAACTGAGTCACCTTGGGGGGGAAAATCTGGCACGATAAATTTGCGCAGACTTTGGACTCATGGAGATACATGAAGGCAGGGTGAAAACACTAAGAGAAATGACAGAAGGGAATAGAGTCCTTTATGAGCACTATACCCCAAAACAACTCTAGATTCAGCTTCCACCGAGCACAGCCTGTTCTTGAGCTGTATTACCTTTCCTTTAGCTGGGTGGTATGAATTCTGATTAGGTTTTTATACTTCCCTGCATGAAAATGCAACTTACTGTGCTTTCCTTTCTACCTCATGTGGTCTTCAAAGCCTGAGCTTCTATTTTCACTTCATACTCAAATGTTTGCCATGTATCCTTGTTCTATAATTTCCACTGCTCTTTAGTACATTAAATTATGATTTAACATTTTTCTTTAATTGAAGGAGAAAAAAAACCCAACAACCTAAAACATAATTTGTGGGTGGCAGGAGGGGGCTGTTCTTGCCAGGGAAGTTTATTTCCATTCTGTCATGCTGAGCCTCCCTTCAAAGTATTTGGATTTTAAAACCAGCTTTAGCTGAAATGAACAGGGGAACAGATTATAGTTCTCAAAGGAAAGAGAGCAGGGAAGCGGCAACTCCAGCTAAATCTCTTAGATAAAAATACTCTTTATATGCCTGAGATTTGTGATTTCTTCCAGAAAATGTTCCTTCAGGAAGTTGACATATCACCTAACAGCATTACTGTAGTATGAACCAGGGTGTAAAGAAATTAATCAGGAACCTTTCATGCTTTTGGATCATTGTGTCAAGTCTCAGTAGCACTTCCTGTGCTTTACAATGCACAGTGTGATAGCAGTTCATTAATAAAATAAGTTTTTCTGTGTTTGCGTAAATGAACCCACAACATGCTTTACCTTTGTAAGGAAGAACTAAATAACAGTAAGAAAATTAGACTAATGAAGGATTGCTGTATAAGGACAGTTAATTCAGTTACCTGAGCCTGTACAATATCTTCTTTGGAGAGGGGAAACTTGACATTTGCATGCTTCTCCCCCAGCGTGAGCTTGCTCAGGCAGCAGACAGCGCAGCATCTCCAGAGTCACCGAAAATCTATCCAAATGAAGTCAAACGAGCACTGCCTCTGCAGAGGGCCAGAAGCCAGATTGTGCATCAACCCTTGTCCATCCTGCATCGGCAAAGGGGTTTGTACCACATGTGTGTTACAAATTCCCAGGACTGGGCATTTTCAGCAAGCCTCTTGGAGAGATGCTGTTCTGCAGGACACAGGGAGGCCCATTCCCACAGGAATGGCTTGTTTTAGGCTTTCCATGCACTCATAGTAGTAAAGCTGTTGTCTGCACTGCAGGACCAGTGTTTCGTCACCTGCAGTTGTTTAATTAGCTGTAGCCTTGCTGCAAACCTGTTGAAAAGATGATTTTTATAGCTTCCTCAGGGAGTCTGCAGATTGAAACACACCCTGTGCTGTCTCCAAAAGGCACCTTCAACTCCATTTCACTGCAGCTTATCCCTGATAGCAGTTACTTTTAGAAGGACATATAACATCCAGGGAAGTCATCAGTGTGAGAGCACGATACTTGTTGATAGGAAATTATGCACTGCTTTTTTCTGGGATTCATGTCCCAGAATTGACCTGTTTGGAGTTTTTTCCATTTATGGGAGTCTATGTCTGTCAGGCATACAATCAGCTCTCACTTTATATCCAGCCCAAACTTATATGTTAGAGAAATAATCAATCCTCATGTCCTGTGCCCTTTTATGCCCTTGTAATTTAATGCATAATTTCCTTCTTCCCTCGAATGCACTGCAGCTCTCTGCTGGTCCTCTGTCCCTGTTCAATGCCACCACTGTCATAGAAAATGTTCTTTCTGCTTTGTGAAACACAGAGCATCTGCCTTTTTATTTTCTTTTTTTCCCTTTATCATTCCTGCTACTTTGCACTTTCACTTTCCTTACAGCTATTGGCAACAATCACACATGAGTCAACAGTCTTTGGCGCATACTCCAGGCCTGCTGTCCAAAGCAAGACAGAGATTCGGGAGAAAAAAATACTTGAACAACAAAAATAGGACATAAACCAGAACAGCTACAGAGAAAGGTAGATAAAAAACAGGCACAGTGACTGAATTAGACTTTTGTCTAAAGGTTATGTATCCAATTTGGCTCCTTGTAAAACTGCTATAAAGCTGCCAGTGATGTCTACATTTGGTTGGTATGTAAATTGTGGAGGAGGTCATATCACTTGAATGAATGGTTAAATACTGTCTGGAGATGGCTTGGTCTGCTGCACATAACATTCTGTAAATATGAGACACATGTAGGAAATACTTTGAGGGGAGCATTGTTTGTAAAGATCTATTTATCCCACTATCCACTGTTATTTTCCAAAGAGGCAATTATACTAACTACTCATCAGTCTTCAAAAGACAGCATGGTACCACAAACTCTCTGTTGTCCTCAGCATCACTGGAAAGACACATACATACATACATAAACACAGAGTCGCATCAGAGGTTGCAACATCCGCATGGGCCATGGCACTTCTCAAGTGCTAGATCTTGTGTTAAAAGTGTTAAAGTTAACATTATCTGCTCCTTACATGACAGTATTTTAAGGTTCTGATAAGAACTTTAACGCATGGATCTAAAAAAATGCAATGTGCTTAACTGTAGAGATTTGGGTATCTTTAGAAAATAATGAGTTTCTGGGAGGTCCTTACTGTTAAAAACTGAGATTCTGCTTCCAAATGATGGGCTCTGGTTAACAATCTTTGAAGTGCTAACGGAACAGTATGCCTTCTAAAAGGAAATTCTTTACTGGTTGAGGACCAAGAGAAATAATTGCTTATCAAATTTACTCTAATGATTGTCACTGTTTCTTTGAAACAAGACCACAATCTGTTCCTAATGGAAACTGCAGAATCTTCAGGGCAAGAAATGAAAATGGAAATTACTCAAAATATATAAAGCTATCTCCTCTGCAGCTCTTGGAATGACTGTATTCCAGATTGTTTTCTTCTTGTATTGTAGGAGCTAGGAAAAATAAACTACTGGGTTGTATTCTTGCCCTGTGTAGGAAATAAAAGAATAGAGACAATATCCCACATGGCAACAACAAAATGAGAATTTGGCAGGAGAACAGTGATCTCTGTCCATTAACTCTCCATGTCACCCAGCAGCCAAGCAGGGAGAACAGCTAGAAAGTAGCTGCTATTCCTTTTGCTACTGCAATATATTGGCCGTGTCTACATTAGCAAGTAATACAGCCCATTAGAAGTGGGTCTGTGAACAGCTGGTGCTCAGGACTCAACATCTTCTGGCATGCATTTGTTAAGTAGTGTGATCTTGTGACTCCAACTTGACAGAGGGTGAGCTCTTCCCTTACAATGTGCAAAGGAAACAAGATTCTCCTTTAAAACAAAAATGCCAACCAAACTAAACAACCATCCTTCCAAAACTGAACTATGAACTCCTGTATTTTCTTTCCAGAGGAAGGAGAAAGTTCATTACTTCTCTTACTAAATTACAAGATGCAAAAGCCCCTAAACATACATGCAAATTCCCGAGTTGTTGGTAACAAAAGCCCCTAACATTCATCGAGTCTTTGGCTCTTAAATTTTTGGTAAAGTAAAAATTCCTTTTTTTAGGGGCATATTTTAGCCCATATTACAGCTTTTCTGAAATGTCCATATATACTACACTTCTCTATTATATATCCCTATGCCCAGAGTGGGCTATATCTTCCTAGAGCCCTTCAGCAAGATATTTTAGCATCAATGAAACTGCTGTGTATAAATTAACAAATTAGATAAAATGACAATTTCAGACTTGCTAGAATGATGCTGTAGTTGTGACAGGAAAGGAAAATTTGCTCTACTACACAGATGGATGAATTTAACTTGTTCTAAGGTTTATAGTGCACTGAATTTAGTAGAGAAAGGGCTTTATGCTTAACCCAAGTTCTGATTTCCTCAATTGGAGCAAGGTTTTCTCAACTGCAAGAACTGAGTTTTGTATTAATTTTTGGCTTCATAAAACATTCCTGCCACACAAACCAGACAATTGTTGCTAAAAACAAGGCAGAAAATACATCGTAATAATTCCATGCAATGGTTATGTTTGAAAGAAGGGGAGGGAAATGTCTTAAATACAATTTTAATATTCATGTCCTCTTCAAGGAGAAACTTTGTGGGTTAGTATAGGTTGTACTACTTAGAACAACTGCAGAAGTCACATAATCAACCTCAACAATATGTTTACAGATAGCTACTGACACTACAAGTATTAGGCAATAGTATGTACAAGCATGATGTTTAATGACTACAGTACTTACACCGTCTTGGAAAGAACTACCTTAAACTGAAATAAACAGAGGAGGAGGGCAGTAGCATGCAAGCATATTCAAAGTAGGGTCAAAGAATGCCATGAGCTAAACTAGAATGAAAATGGCACTGCTGAGAAATGGTTGTGGGTTTTTTTTGATAGATTTAAACTCTACTAGCAGCACTTGCATTTAAAAGCATATAGCAGCATTGGTTAACGGATCCTCACATCTGCCTCTAAGCTCCTGGAAGGTTTCTGTAAGTCACCATGTGGCTAATGCATCAGGCATTGTCCTGCTCACCCTAGATGAGCCTGAAGATGAAGACCAAGAGAGGCTCTATAGCAACTCTGAGTTGCACAAGATTTTCCTACTAATAAATTTTCCCATGGCTTTGTCAAGGCAAATCAGTGGTGACAGCCAGGATGGTGAATATGTAGCAGCTTGAATTGGCCTTGGTAAAACAACCCCTCTCTTTATTGTCTTTCATGTACACACCAATTGCTGATTAGAATCCTGCTCTGCACATTTTGTCTGAGCAGGTAAGATTGCCTCGGTTCTACATTAACACATTAATTTATAGTGTAATGGTGTAAGTAGTGAGAGGTGTCTATGGAGCACGTGCTGGCACTTCTGTTCTGCTGGGGCAGTGCTTATGCACAAGAACAAAAAATACCGCTTTCAAAATACCAAGCATGTCAGGAGACTGTCTTTGTACCAACAAGTTTTGTTAATTTTACTGGCAACAGGTTTTAAGCTCACATGTTAAGACTAACAATCCTAGGTATTTCTTTGGTCTCCAGTTCTCACTTCTCATTTGGGTTGTGTTTTTGAGAAGGAACCATCTAAGGAATGTTTTTTCTAACATTTGCCTTTCATCAGCTAGAAAATTTGGCATTTTCCCTCTCATTTCCTTCTCTTTTTTTATTTTTTTTTTTTTTTTTATGCAAAAGGGGTAAGCATATCTGTGACAAAACTCTCATTTTAAACCCACCATAGAATATGAGCTAAATGCATGAGGTTTTTATTAAACAAGTAACTGATAGTCGTGTTACTTCAACCATATCCTGGCCTGGTTTTATAAGCCTCACAAAGCCCAAATAGCATGGAAGGAAAACCAGCATGGAATATTTTTACCCTGTCTGACCTAAATTTATGTATTTTTTAGTTTTTCCAAGAGAAAGAGAAGTGGAATAACTACTCCCTCTCCTCAGTTTCTTTTTGGCTTTCATATTTGAACTGTGTTCTCAGCTGCTTGCATGAGTCATGGAGAGCTGGAAACAGGACCGCCCCCCCCCAGTATTATTATAACTGCTTCCTCATGAGGAAGCCTGTCTGTGTTTTGAAGGGTACCACTATACCACTAGAAAGCCACAAAAATCTCCTGAAAACTTCCTGGTACCAGAAACCTACCTGGGACCTAATAGAGGAAGTGACAATACCTTAACTGCCCAATCTGATTAGTGGAATGAAAAGCAAGATATTTAAAGGTTTCCATATTGCTTTGTCTGGAAATTTATGCCATTGTTCTTTGGCATTTGCAGATATTTCAGGCTGCTGTTGACTTAGTGGATTGTTTTGTGTAATGATGGTATGGAGTTTCACTGGTCTAGGCATAATTTGGATTTGATCCTGTGATGTTCCAAGAAACTCTGAAATCCACAGGCTTTTATGAGAACTGGATGTTCAGTGCTTGCCACGCTGATCCACACTACTCTAAGATAACATGTTCATCATTGCCTGTTCCTTCCTATGCAATGTAAGTTATATCCAACCCAAATCTCTGTTATAACTACCTATAATACTGTATTTAGAAACAGGGGAAGCTCATGGCAGAAAACCATTCTTCATTCTGAAATTTCATTTAGAGTAAGTAAGACCCCTCATATTTTGTCTCCCGTCTAGACCGAGCAGAAGATATCAGACAGGTCAGGTATTGGTATCAATTGTGCCTGTCAGCTCTATAGCATCTGTAGGCATTATTATGCCTTATGCTGCCCTGTTTCAGTCATGTTAGCTCAAGCTCATCTGCCTCTAAATAGAGCTTCAGTCCTAAATTCCTGAACCTAAGGTCAGACAAGAAGCTTGTCACACTGAAATTGCATCTCCCCATCAGAGACTATTCCCTTTCTCACTAGACTCTCCTTCCTCTTCTCTACACACATTCTGCTTTTACATGAACTCTGTTTTTTGCTATCATTTCACCATTTGTACAGATCTGACTTCTTATCCTCCAGGCAGCCTTCTCTTCCTGCTCAGTGCAGTTTACTGATCCTCTGGACAATAACAGCCTGACTTTAATCAAGACTATGCAGGAAAAGCTTTTTTTCTCAGAGAAAGCTTTTAGATGCTACAAGTATTCATGATTCGTTTACCACATTGGGTAATGAAGCAGAGCTAAAAATACCATATGTTCCTTTGACATTGCCCATTCATTACAATAAATGACTGAAATTTCTGTGACTGCAGAACAAAACATGTTTTATGTTTTTGCTTTTAAGTGAAGCTGTGTATAAAGCGCTTTGCCACTTGGAATATCCTCTTAGTGTTTTACATAAGAGGATAACAAAGTTTATTTGGAGAAAGCAGAGAAGCCTGCGGCTTGTTTTCCTCTCATTTTCTTAAATGAATGAGAAGATATCTTAGATTGTGAGATCATGGAAATGTATCTGGCCAAATTTTCTCCGTTATGAAAAGATACAGCAAGGAATATTATTGAGACTGCCCTTTGGAACATCACCTCTTATTGGCAGTTCACTGCACCAGATAAGCAGAAGTCCTTTCAATCATCTTCAAACATCCTATGCAATCTGTGTAAGTCTGTTTCAACAACTGAGAGGAGATTATCAAAGAATAAGAAAGAGCTGACACATAGGACCAGATTGTTTGAAGATGTTTATTTTAAGCCATTTCACATAGTCTCATTCACTATTTTGGGGGTTTTGAATTCAGAGAAAGATACAATTTTTTTTTCTGCAGCAATGAAAGCTGTGCAGGCGGATGCTCTTGCTTGCACAAGAAAAGAACTTACAGTATTTTTGAAAGTACTTTAAAATAAAAAGTTAAAAAAAGACCTCAACTAATTTCTTCCTTTCAAGTGTTGAAATGATCTAATGCTATTAATAGAAGATTCTTTCCCTGTGGAAAATTTATTCTTCTATTTAAAGCTGCTGGGGAAAAGCTTGAAAGAAGAAAAAATGATGATTCTGACATCTGGCTGTTGGTATAGCCTTTGAATGATGTTTATTTGGAAATAAGTCAGGGTAATCGACAAGACACCCTTTCTCCACACAGTTGCATGAAGTACATACTTGCTAGAAGCCCACCCAGCTTGTCCCTTAGTGCTGAGGGAAGCAAATTTGAGGATACTGCATTGACAGCAGTGAAAAACAGGTTTTCCTTCAAGCAGGGAAACAGGCACAGCTAATGAAGCAACAGAACTTCCTCATGCTGCTGAGCAGTGAAGCCTGACCCTGGCCCAACTGGCCCATGATTAGCAGAGCAGGTGTTATTCTGTCCCCATGATCTTCCTGCAGAGGTATGAAAGTGATACTAGCTGCGATGACATTTTGTGTGGGCACAGGACTAGAAATTCCTGTCACAATAAATCAGCAAACAGAATACCTCCCCAGGAGTTTAAAGAGGACATTTTATACTGAATAGCTCATGTCTTGCTTCCAGGCACCTGATCCATTAGGCTTTACTGTTCTGACATGTGCTGGCACTCAGTGACTTCCTTCACAGGCTGACCACACAGCCCAGGTGCTGTTCCAGTGATTTACTCTGGAGTTATGTGAGTTCTGTGTCTTGTGCATTCCTGGTGGGATCACTCAGAGATCATTTTTGCAAAAAAAAACCAGGGGCATATTACCCAAAACATGTGATTCACAGTAAAACCACCAAAACCAATACAGAATGCTTAAAGCTGAATATAAACCACATCTTATGATTTTGTTCTTTCTTTTGTTTAGTAAGGAAATGGAAACAAGAGATATTTGTAAAATGTACAGTGAAGTATTTTGCTAAAGATCTCTGAGCAACCTAAACAAACCAGGGTGCTTAAATATCACTGTAGCATTTGTATAAGTAGGCGCTCTAAATGAAGCTCTGAGAAGCACAGCCAACTTCGGAGGGTCCTGGATAGGAGTTACATATTTCTGTGATCTGTGCATGGCACTGAATTAGATACAGCAACTCAGATTCCCTAACACAACTTTTCTTCCACAAGGTAGGTTAACCCTTAGAAGTTACAGACACTAAGTAGGCCTTGGTTTACAGTCTTCAGCTGGCACCCACTCTGTCTAGTTTTAGGGCATTTAATATCAATGATACAAAGTGCAGATCCAGTAGAAATTCACTCTCCATGTAAAGCACGTTCAAAAAATGCTGATCAATCAACTTTGCTCCTGCAAGCTTTTTGCTGGATCAGGTAGCATTTGTCTGTGCTACTTGCACTTCATGCCATATCAAGCTTTGTCTGTCTTCCCGCAGTTGGCATCAATCTGGCACAAAAAGCACCGAGCTGGCCTAAACTGTTTCACAGCTCTGGCTGATTTGACAGAAATACGATCATTTGCCCATGCCTGAGCTGGGTGAAACCTGCACTGCTGTTAAAAGCCATGGTGCACAGATCTGGTGTTGCCATCAATCTCTTGTACGATGGCAGTGACTGTCAGTGCCAGAAAGTGATGTGAAACTAATGGAACGTTTCTGTCTGCTGCCCCAGCACAGGGGTCTGGATGGCAAGAAGCAAAATGAGACATCACGTGGTGGCTCTTGCCTCTGTACACATCACTTCTGCTCAGTGACCTCAACTTTCAACAGCAACTACGTGCTGCATGAACAGCAAGAAGAGTTTTCACGGGGTATGAGCCTGTGCTGGGCAGCTGCATCCAGCAAGGCAGCAGGGTGATGCAGAACAGCTCAATTTTTGGAGCAAAACAGACCATCCTTTTCCTCAGGTTTGGTTCTGGCTTTGGGCTTTTTGCTTATGCACTACAAACGCATGCATGCTCCACCTTCCCCAGAATCAGTAGGTATTCCATATGTGTCTGTATTCTACATAATACTTCTATCCAGTATATGTGTATGCATGCAATATTCTACATTATATTACACAATCACATATTGAAAAAATTAAATTATCAGGAAGTCTGCTGGTAATATGGATTTGATTATAAAATAGCTACTTCTCATGTAGGTCAGAGCGAGAGAGGTTTGGGAGCTTGATTTTAGGGTGGCATAGTCAGCATCAGAGATCTTGTAAATCCATCTAAGCTACCTGCCAGATGTGCCCATGCAGAACCCACTGCCATGTTTGACTAGTTCAGCCATGCTGTTTCCAACCTGTTCTCAGTAATGCACCTGTATGTTGACTTTCAAATAAAATAAGTTAAGGTACAAGTTACACACCTTGAATGTTCATATTTCTAATGCTAAATATAGGGTGAAAGGATTGTAAACAGAGTTGAACTGCAGTTCCCACTGAAGGGCTCTTGCGCTCTCTTTTCCTGGTATTTTTTTCTTTGATTTTTCTTCTTCT